ATATTTTTGTTTTTCTGTTGATGGGATTTCTTACACCAGCAATTAGGAGGGCCTGCAGGTTTTAAGACCAAATGCTGGAATTTCATTATTTAGAACTGAGAGAAATAAAGACAGATTTGAGAAGCTTACAACTTACTATGGAAAGAAAAGAGGCAAAATAGGATTATAAACAATTGGAATATGAGGCACATGGTATTAATATGAATAGAAAAAATGATGATGAATATTTGGATTTCATCCCCCCAGTCCTTAGTGCTGTTTGCTATGAAACTTTGTCAAATAGTTTAATGAAGCCATTAAAATGTAACAGTTTGAAATGTGGTACATACATGCAATGGAATACTACTTAGCCAGTAGGAGAAATGAAGTCTTAATACATGCTACAGTATGGATGGAGCATGAAGACATTATGCTGAACGGAATAAGCCAATCACAAAAGGACAAATATTGTATGACATCATTTATATAAAAAGACAAGAAAAAGCAGATATATAGAGACCAAAATTCATTAGTGGTTACCAGGGGTGAGAGGGAGGGGGAAAAGGAGAGTTAACTGGTGATGGAAAAATTGCATTGATTAAAGGTAGGGTTGCACAGCCAATTATTGCAATTGCTGTCAATAAGTTGTACACCTGTAAAAAGTTAAATGGGCAAAAGTTGTGTGATAGATATATTTACAACAGTGACACACACACAAAAAAAGAGTAGCTGCTGAGGCTGCTTAAGTACTACCGAACACCTCGGGGGATTTGGTTCCTTGGTTTAGAGGTTTAGGGTCATGGTTTCATGGGACATCCCAGTTAACTGGCCTAGTATCGGGTTTAATGCTTCTGTTATACCCCCTAGTTTGTTATGTAGTGCCTGGGGTCTTAAAAGCTTGCACTCGGCCATTCAAGGCAAAACAATTCATCCCTATTCACCCGGAGCAACAGAGGAAGAAGGAGAGTCAGGAACAGGAGGAGGATATGGACTGTGTGGCTAATTGCCTCCATGAATAGCTGCCTCCTTTGCCATGAGACCAGAAGAAGTAGATGGTGCCCAGCTGCCATTACTGAACTTTTTTTTAAATTTTATATTGTTTTTGGTGAAAGTTTACAGTGTAAATTAGTTTCTCATTCAAGAATTTATTCACAAAATTTGTTGTGACATTGGTTGCAATTCCCACAATGTGTCAGCACCCTCCCCCTTTCCACCTCAGGTTCCCCACGTCCATTAGTCCAGTTTTCCTGTCCCTTCCTGCCTTCTTGTCTTTGCTTCTGGGCAAGAGTTGCCCAATTGGTCTCAAACACTTGATTGAACCAAGAAGCAAGTTCCTCAAGTGTGCCATTTTTTGTTTTATAGGCCTATCTAATCTTTGGCTGAAAGGTAGACTTTGGGAGTGGCTGCAGTTCTGAGTTAGCAGGGTATCTGGGGACCGTAGTCTCAGGGGGTCCTCCAATCTCTGTCAGACCAGTAAGCCTGGTCTGTTTTTGGTGAATTTGAATTTTGTTCTACATTTTTCTCCTACTCTATTGTGATCCCTGTCAGAGTGGTTGTTGGTGGTAGCTGGGCACCATCTAATTCTTCTGCACTCAGGCTGGTGGAGGCTGTGGTTCATTAGTCCTTTGGACTAATATTTTCCTTGCATCTTTGGTGTTCTTCATTCTCCTATGCTCTGGATGGGATGGGATCAATAGATGTATCTTAGATGGCCACTCACAAGCTTTTAAGACCCCAAACACTACTCACCAAAGTAGGATGTAGAACGTATTCTTTATGAACTATGTTATCCAATTGACCTAGATGTCCCCCTAGGCCACGGTCCCCAGCCCTCAGCCCCAGTAACTCAGTCTCTCAAGGTATTTGGATGTGTCTAGGAAGCTTCTATGACTTTGCCTTGGTCAAGTTGTGCTGACTTCCTCTATGTTGTGTGTTGTCTTTCCCTTCACCAAAGTTAACAGTTGTCTATACGTAGTTAGTGATTTCCCCTCCATACCCCTCCTCTCCCTCGTAACCATTAAATATTGTTTTTTTCTGTGTGTAAACCTTTTCTTAAGTTTTTATAATAGTGGTCTCATATAATACTGAACATTTTGATCAAAGTGTCCAGAGAAAAATCCTGATCAAAAGAGAAAAAATGCAGAACAGAATTTCAAATTCTCATGGACTCCAGACTTCCCGGAGCCATGGAGGCTGGATGAAATCCTGAAACCACTACCCTGAGATAACCTTTAAACCTTAAACCAAAAATATCCCCTGAAGTCTTCTTAAAACCAAACAATAGTTTAGCTTAACTAGTAAAGAATGTCTGCCTTGAGCATATACTCTTTTAAGAGCTGTCTATATGGGTCCAAATTGACAACAGCAACTCAAAAGATTAGACAGGAACCTTAGGGGCAGTGAGTTTACATTCATGGGGGAGGAACAACTCAAAAAAGGAGGGTGAGAATGGTTGCACAACTTGAAGAATATAATCAATGTCACTAAACTGTACATGTAGAAACTGTTCAAAAAAAAAGAGAATGTTGACAGATTGTGATAAATGTAACTAATGTCCCTGAACAATTTGTGTGGAAATTGTCAAATGAGAACCTAATTTGCTGTTTAAACTTTCACGAAAAACCCAATAAAATATTATTTAAAAAAATAACACTTTAAAATTTAAAAAAATTACCTAGAACTCAAACTCACATAAAAAGTCCAGACTTAATGGTCTGACTGAGACTGGAGGAACCCCCGAAGCCATGGCCCCCAGATGCTATGTTAACCCAGAACTAATATCATTCCCGAAGACTACTCTTCAGACAAAGATTAGACTGGACTACAAAATATAAAATAATACTTGTAAAGAGTGTGCTTCTTAGTTCAGGCAGATACACGAGACTAAATGGGCAGCTCCTGTCGGGAAGCAGGATGAGAAGGCAGGAAGGGACAGGAGCTGGTTGGATGGACATGGGAAACCTGGGGTGGAAAGGGGGAGTGTGCTGTCCCATTGTGGGGATTGCAGCTAGTGTCACATGACAATATGTGTATAAAATTTTGTATGAGAGATTAACTTGAGCTGTAAACTTTCACCTAAAGTACGATAAAAAAAAATTTACCTGTTTGTTCCAACAAATGTGCAGTGACACCTCTGATACACCAATGCAGTTTTGCCTATACAAAGAAAAAAATAAGTTATTCAAGTATAAAATAGCAAATTTTGTCCCTGCAGGGAGGAAGGGACCAAAAGTACAGAGGAATAATTCAGAGTCGCACCCCTCAAGTCACATAATGTCCAAGAAGTTTGCAAAACCAACTGCAAAATGTGTAACAAATATTTGCTAGGATCTGGGATTTTCCCCTACTTGAAAGCTAACAAGTTAGCCTGTATCCATTTCATGGATAAATAAGCATCAGCATATTTACATCAGTTTCCCACGTCCCCAAGCCCCACATGGGTCATGTGAAGGACCCAGGTGGATGCTATGCATCACAAATGAGGAACACTGGCCTCGGGGCATTCACATCATTTTACAGCAAGCCTGCTCTTTGTCCCAGAAAGAGAGATTGCCTCATCCCTCAAGGCTGCTCTTTGCAAACCAGGGCTTCAAACCGGTTTGTTCTGGTTTGAACCCCTGCTGGGAATTCGAATTTCTAACAAGCCCTGGTGGCACGGTGGTTAAGAGCTCAGCTGCTAACCAAAAGGACAGGAGTTGGAATCCACCAGCTGCTTCTTGGAAGCCCTATAGGGCAGTTCTTCTCTCTCCTGTAGGGTCACTATGAGTCAGAATCAACTCGACGGCAACGGGGTTCGGGTTTGGTTAACAAGTTCCCTATTGAAATTTGCATTTCTAATAAGTTCCCAGGAAGTTATATATAAGAATCACCTGGGGATCTTGTTAAACTGTAGGTTCTGATTCAGTGTATCTGGGGTGGAAATGCAGTGGTTCCAGGCCCTGGTGCAAACACAGCCCTGAGAATGGCCCAGGTAAAGAGCAACCGGAGCCTTGCATTCTTGGCATACTTAACAAGAACATGTGGAACGCTCAGGGCCTTTGGTGAATTACATCTTCCAACAATGTTATTCCCAGAGAGAAAATAGGCCACCTCCCCTTTCCCAGGAAGTGGACAAGATGTACTGCTCAGAGTTTTGCCCCAAGGACTATTTCCCTTCACCATTGTCTTTCAGGGTCTAGAAGGCAGCTGCCATCCACTCTTAGCTAGTGCCGGCAAACTGCATAAACCAGGCCTGCACATTTTCTCTGTTAACTGGTCAAAAGGAATTCTCCAGGAAGCCTCAAGTGTGGGTTAACAAAAAAAAAAAAAAAAACACATTCCCACTGAATCCATTCTGACTAGAACTGCCCTATAAGATTTCCAAGGCTGTCATCTTTCTGGGAGCAGATTGCCATGTCTTTCTCCTGCAGAGTAGCTGGTGGGTTCGAGTCATCCACTTCCAGTTAGCAGATGAGCTCTTAACCACTGCGCCACCAGGGCCCCTTCAAGTGCAGGTAAAGCAGTAGGAGCCAGTACCATGGGAGTCTAAGGCACCTCTACAAGCAGTTTACACGTGCCTTCTGACCAGCTTGGACGAAACTTCATATACAGCATTAGTATTTTATAATGGAACGCTGCTGCACACATCCACCTTCATGTTTCTGTGGATCAGATAACACCTAATTGTCTGGTCATTTCAAGTGGCATACCTCACTCTCCTTCCACCTTTCAGATCTCCTGCCCATGCTTCCCATTGAATGAATCCACCCAGAAGCTAGAGGGCAAGGAAACCTGTTGATACAATCCCCTCCCAGGGGACAGAGCAGGCAGAGCAGAGTGGAGAGTGCATCTGGAAGGGCAAATGGAAGATACCCAGCCCAGCCCATAAATGGCATTGATGTCATTGGTGTGATTTTCTAAAACATTAAACGATTCTTGGTTAAGTTCCAAATAAACAACACACTCCTCTCAATTTACACAGTAGTTCCATTCCTGGAAAATTCCATGTATATTAAAACCATACAAAAAATACTTTTGAGTTATGCCTGTTTCAGCAGCAATAGACCAAAGTTGGAATTATACAGACGAGATGAACATGGCCCCTGTGCTAGGATGACATGCAAATTTGTGAAAGCATTCTGTATCTTAAACAACAAATGTTCTTAAAAGAAAAACATGCTTTGAGTTTACATGTAAAATGGAGTTAGGTTTAGGCTCACATAATTACAAATAGATTTTTCATATACATGAATATCTAGGGGGACATTTGAAAATTATGTAAGATGCAGGAAAATTCTTCCTTGTGCAGGAACGTCACATGCATTGAAGGACATATGACATTCCTGGCTCCTGCCCACTAAATGTCAGGAGCTCTCTGCCACGAGATTCCTGCCAATCACTGTAACAACCAAAATAATCCCATATTTTCTCAGAACACCCCCTTGGGTGATACTGCCTGCATTGACACCCACTCTCCTCAGGTGAAACACTCAACCTTGCCGAATTTGAGCAGAATACATCATCTGCTTGTGTCTGGTGCAACACTGAGTGTAAGAAACGACATCTAAATTTATGTGTCCCTGTTCAATCCGATATACAGAACTCTCTGTCCTACTTACCGAACACTTGTTGCCATTTCTGACAACTTATCATTGTAAATTTTAATTTTCTGATTTAGTATAAATAAAAAGTAAGAAAATAACTGACTGGATGTGAAGTTCAAACTACCTATCATTGAGCCAGATGAAAGTTTACAAATAACCACATTCCGTGTCACTTGATATTAAGCTGTAATATTTTTTCTATATTTAATTTATACATTTTAATTAACACATGCACCAAAAAAAAAAAAAAAACCAAACTCATTGTTACCGAGTTGATTCCGACTCATAGCAACCCTATAAGACAGAGTAGAACTGCCCCATAGGGTTTCCAAGGAGGGGATGGTGGATTCATACTGCTGACCTTTTGGTTAACAGCCAAGCTCTTAACCACTGTGCAACCAGGGCTCTAATACATGCACATTATATAAAATTAGAACATGCAGACACAAAAATAAAAAATAAAACATCACATTCTATGGTAGACAGAATGATGGGTCACCAAAGATGCCCATGCCCTGGAACGTTTTACGTGGCAAATGTGATTAAGGATTTTGAGATGGCGAAATTATCTTGGATTATCTGAGTGGGCCCAATGTAATTCCAAGGTTTCTTATCAAAGGGAAGCAGGATGGTCAAAAGGCAGAGAAGGTGATGTGACAACGGAAGCAGAGATTGATGTGGCCACAAGCCGAGGAATACCAGTGCTTCTAGAAGCTGGAAGAAGCAACGAATGGATTCTCCTCTGAAGCCTCCAAAGGAACCAGTCCTGCTGACACCTTAATTTTAGCCCTGTAAGATTCATTTGGAGTCCTCGTGGCGCAGTGGTTAAGAGCTCTGCTGATAACCAAAAGGTCGGCAGTTCGAATCCACCAGCCACTCCTTGGAAACCCTGTGGAGCAGTTTTACTCTGACCTATAGGGTTGCTATGAGTCGGAATCGACTCGACGGCAATGGGTTTGGTTTGAAGATTCATTTTGGACTTCTGACCTTCAGAACTGTAAGAGAATAAATTTGTGTTGTTTTAAGCCACTAACTTTTTGGTAATTTGTTACAGCAGCAATAGGAAATAATACACATTCTCACCACCCAGAGATCCATGGTTAACACCCTCCTGTGTTTCCAGCTCTCTTCCTATACTAATGTGTGTGTGTGTGTGTGTGTGTGTGTGTGTGTGTGTGTGTGTGTGTTTGCCAAAATGGGATCATAGTGTACATATTATTTTATAAACTGCTTCTTTTTTTTGGTCAACAAACTCTACCTGTCCATTTTACCAAACACCTAGACTATATTCAAAATGTCCCAAATGACACAAAAATGCCCTTAACAGTTGTTTAGTCCAAACCAGGATCTGTTCCAGGACCACATGTTGCATCTGCTTGTTTGGTCCCTTTTGTTGTAATGTTGACTATTTAAGAGATTGTCCTACATTTGTTCTGAGGAATGTGCCACCTTCTGAGTTTGTTTAGTTGCTACTGCTTGGTGGTGTTTAGTTTGTTCTAGCCACTGTATTTTCTGTAACATTTTTAATAAACATTTTTGGCTAGAATAATTTATAGGTGATGGATATTTATGCTGAATCATATCAGAAGACACGTAATATATGGTTAATGCTATTAAGACTGACTACTGAATTAAGGTGATGACTGGCTAATCTCTCCATTTTACAGTTATAGTTTTGCCCTGAAACTAGGAGGTGATGTCTTGTTACTTTTGCATTTTAATAATATCCAGTTTCCATAGATCATTTTAACACCAGTTGATAATCATTATGGCAATGGTAATTATTATGATAATTTCATTAAAGTTTGTGAAATTATGTTTTTCTAAATCTATCATCCCTTCTACATTTAACTAGCCTGGCATTCATCTCATCTAGAGCTTCCCCTCGTCTACTGGGGCTATTCAGTTACCTGAAATACAGATTCTACTGGAAAAGCAGGGTAAAATGTTTGATTCTTTCCCATAAATTACCAATTTTCATTGCAAGTAGTTGATAATAGCTGCCATAAATGGCAACAAATAAATTTTTTCAGACTTTTCTTATTTTGAGCATCATTATGAAATCGTGGATTTTCATTGATTCCATCTATTTCAATTCATTGCCATCATTAATCTTGTTAATGCCCTAAATGTCATGACTGGCCAGTGGAACATGATCCTATTGATCTTTGGGAACTTTCCTGATTTCTAGCACAGTAAAATATCCCTGGCTGTCCTTATGCTTTCCCTGCCCCACATCTGGAATAAACCATTTCTCCAAAGAGCCCAGGTTTCCTTTTAAGGGGAATGGTTTTCAGAGACCATAATCTGAGCACTAGGAATGTCCATTATTCCTGGGATGACATTACTTTTGGTCACTTCAATGGACAGAGCTAGGAAAAAATATACATATATATGTATATTTGTGGTAGACAGACTCTAGAGTGGCCTTTATGATCCCTGCCTCCTGGTGTTCATGCCCTTGTGTGATCTCTTACACTTGAAAGTGGGCAAAAACTATGACTTGTTTCTAACCAATAGTATATGGAAAAGGTGACAAGATGTACATGATTACATGTATGTGATTATGTTACACAAGACTGTAATACCTGTCTTGTGAGGAGACTCTCACTTTGCCAGCTTTAAATAAGGCAGCTGCCATATTGTGAGCAGCCTATCAAGAGGGTCAGCTAAGGGTGGTCTCCAGCTGACAGCCAGCAAGGAACTGAGGCTCTCAATCCAGCAGCCTGCGAGGAACTAAAGGATGCCAACAATCACATGATCCTGGAAGTGGACCCTCCCCACTTGAGCCTCACATGAGACTACAGCCCTGGCAAACACCTTGATTGAAGCTTTGTGAGACCCTGAAGCAAAGAATCTAGCTAAGCCATGTCCAGACTCCTAACCCACACAAAGTTTGAGATAATAAATATGTCTTGTTTTAAGCCTCAAGGTTTGTGGTAAGGTTGTTATATAGCAATAGATAAAACTGATACGATATTTAATCCTGGGTTTATATGAATGTTTTCAATTCCATTTTAACGTTATGGTGTTTTCATTTAATTTCTTAGATTGTCCAATTGTCTTTTATACTGAAATTCTTGATTTCTAATATTATAAACATACTTTCTTATTTGCTTTAACCAATAAAATAAAATAATTTAAAAATACCAATCCTAATATTTTCATAAATAATGGAACTACTGGGCCTATCCCCTGGTGGAACACACACCAAACTGTGAATAAAAAAAACTGAGGATGAGGGAACTCCTCTCATTTATATTTTTCCATTCTTCCCTCTCTTTGAAAGGAAACATTTATTCATTCATATTCATTCTCTTGCAGGCTTGCTTATTTAAGTAAACTATATCTATGAAAGTACTTTATAATAATTTTAGCCTTGGTATTCTTTCAAGTTGTTTTTGTAAATTTTAATAATATTTCCTGTTAAATCAGTAGTTGAAGGTCTTAAAAGAACTTTTTAATGTACAAATTTCTCTAATACATTTTGGTATAGGGTTCAATTGATTGAAATTTGATTTAGGCAAAATTATCATAAAAATTATTTGCTCCATACAAGGCACATCTACACTTCTAAAATGTTTTTTTTTTAAACAGCTAATACACAACTTTATTTTTCATATTTTTAATAAACCTATGAAATAGAAATTCAAAGTACAGTTTCTGAACAATTCACTTAAGATGAACAAAGATGTCTCTAATATCAACCAACCATTTCTTTTTTTAATATTTAGTGATTTTTTAAAAAATTATGTAAGTTTATATTTTAATATTTGTTCAAAAATTAAATGTCACCAGATGTCCACTTGAAATGATATTATTAATATTGATGATAGAAAAGAAATCAAGAATGTTTATAGCAGCATTATTCCTGACAGCCAAAATGTTTAAACAACCCAAATGTCCACCACCAGATAAATGGATGAACAAAATGTAGTATAGCCATACAATAGAATATTATTCTTCCATAAAAATAATAAAGTACTGACTAATATATGCTACAACATAAATGAACCTTGAAAACATGCTAAATGAAAGAAGCCAGGCATAAAAGGCCATATAGTGTATGATTCCATATACATTAAATGTCTAGAATAGGTAAATCTATAGGAAGAGAAACTAGATTAGTGGTTGCCAGGGGCTGGGAGTGGGGGTGGCGAGTGACTGCTAATGGTATGGAGTTTCTTTGGGGGATGATGGAAATGTTTTGGAATTAATAGTGGTGATGGTTGCACAATCATTTGTGATTATACTAAGGAACTGCTGAACTGTACTTTTTAAAAGAGGGAGTTTTATGGTAGCAAATTATATCTCAATAAAAAAATAAAATAAATGATCTCCCAAGCCTCATAGAACAGGGCAGGGCCCAGCAGTCACTCCCACTGTGGTCAGGAATTTAACCTGCTGGTTCCTGGGTGAGGAGACTTATTAAAAAAAAAAAAAGTTGTAAAAACAAAAATAGAATAGCCTGAAAATAAGTGAGTTAAGAATTCAGTTCAGGACCTTAGGGTGAAAAAAGTAAAATCAAAAGAAGTAGAAAGATA